GGGTACAGTCTGTGGTACAGAAAATGGTCGATAGCCTTGTCCTGCTCCAAAATTTTCAGGCAATCTATCAATTTCTTCTTGTAACCACTTCCTGGATCTCTTTTCAGAGGTTCATAAGTGTTTAAGTCTTTAAGTTTTCAGGGTTTTCATGAGCTGTATGCCATAATCATCAGTAGTAAAACAATTAAAGACCTGAAATATTTCAGTTGGTGTGCAATGAATCTGAAATATATGAAAGTTTCATTTTTATCATTACATTATGGAAAATAATGACCTTTATCACAATATGCTAATTTTTGAGAAGGACCTAATGGTTGCGACGCCTATGGTTATGTGTTATAATATTGGTCATTTAGTTCTTATCTTTACCTCTCTGGATGTATGTATTTAATCCTGTTCTTTGGTTGCTGTTGTTTTATTTTATTTTATTTTAATTTTTTGCTGTACAGCACTTTGGTTGGCCTTGTTGCTGTTTTTAAGTGCTTTATAAATAAAGTGGTATGGTATGGTATGTGAACAGCTAGTTTTGGATGTCAATAACAAACTGCTGGATCCACTATGAGAAAGTACTATTTACCAATATAAGACTGAATTTGTTACACCTTCTCAGACTGACAAAGTCTTTTGGATAAAAGATTAAATGTTTCAACAAGAAGGATCCATTCAGAGAACGTGACTTAACTTTTTTAGATTTTCTACCTGGATTATTCAGCATGCATCAGGATAGTCAGACTGAAGGTTGTTCTATTGAAGAAGCAAGAGGTTTACAGCTAATATTCAGAGAAAATTCAGCTGCTATCTACATCCCTCTAGCTCCATAGCAATCGTTTTGTTTCTTCAAAGTGGCTTTCATCTATTGTTTTTCCTTCTCAAAATATCTGACATTCTCCCAAATGTGGTGAAGTTAAGTGTAGAGCTGCAACGTCTAGGAAATGCTGTTTCTCGGGAAAATGTCTCAATTTTCTCGGCGTAAATATGAGGAAAGCTGTGAAACTAATAGTGCCTACTGTTCTCCAAGGCCACACTTTAGCTGCTACATGAAATGTCAAATCTCCTTTGAGTCAAAACGTCACTCGCCGTGGTTTTCAAGTCTGGAAGAAAGAAAATCAATATGTCTCTCCAGCCCCTCACTCACCACACTGGTGGACAGATTCAAGTGGGCCTGATGGTCTTCAATTAGGGGCCCAGCAAGATGTCTGAGCGATGCTGGAAAAAGCTGTTTGCCACGTTCATCTGAGCTACAGTGACTGCAGCCCGGCTGCTAAATCCAGCGATAACTCCCTGCAATTTTGAATTCTATTGGCCCCATCTGCACCCATCACCCCAGCTGCTCGACTACCATGAAAATTATGTGATCCTGGGTATATTTTTGCCACTAATGGTTCCAAATAATCGTCTTGAATGACAGTACTACTGTTCTTTTTGATGCTGTGCGTTGTGTTGAGCATATTTTTAACCAGCACATGAGCCTGCACATCATAATGCTTGTTCAAAATAAATCAACATGTCAGTCATTATCAAATCATAATCTTGCAGTCATGCTGCTCCAAGAGGTAGCTACCATGGGAAAAGTGTTAATGTTCCTCATCAGCTGAAAAGCATCTGTCTGCAGAGCAGTGCATAAATATTTTGACTTTCCCTCCGTGTAAAATTGCATGCATGTTGATGTATGCAGTCATTGCTCCCTCCTTCCAGCACCCAAGCTGTACTTTTTCTTGAGCACCTCTCATGTGTTTCACATGCACATATGTTGGCTTAATGAAGGCTTACAATGTGTGGGGGGTGTGGGTGTGGGTTTGTGTGTTTCTAGATCTCCGTAATGCTAGAACTGCATATTATTAATTTTTACTAAATGAGAATAAAAGTAACCCCAGGTTCCACATCAGTGCCATAGCTAGTCTAATGAAAGATCCCATCTCTGTTGAACCACGTATCCCTACAACTATAAGCAGTGATGACTTCACGAGATTTAGGGAGAAAATTCAAACCAACCTTCCTACTATCGCCTCTGGTTCCCTGTCAGATGAGGCAACTTTAAAAATGTCACTAGAACCTGATTTATATTTGGACTATTTTTGTCCTGTTAGCTCTCTGAATTGTCAAAAATTATAGCTTCATCCGAACCATCTATGTCTGTTAGATCTCATCCCAACCAGCCTATTTAAAGACATATTTCCCTTAATTAATATTTACATTTTTGATATGCTTAATTTGTCTTTAATGAATGGTTACGTACCACAGCGCTTTAAGGTTGCTGTAATTAAATTTTTTACTTAAGAAACTTATGCTAGACTCAAGAATCCTGGTCAATTATAGACCTATATCTAATCTAACTTTCATCTAAAAAAATTCTAGAGAAAATAGTTGTAGGTCAGTTGCATGAACATCTACAAAGAAATAATCAATTTGAGGAGTTTCAGTCAGCGTTTAGAGCTCACCATAGCACAGAGATAGCACTGGTGAAAGTTACTAATGACATTCTCATGGCCTCAGACAATGAACTTGTGTCTATGCTGGTCCTGTTAGACTTCAGTGCTGCCTTTGACACAGTTGATCACAATATTTTACTGCAGAGGCTTGAATATGATATTGAGATTACAGGAGCGGATCTAAAATGGTTTAAATCATATTTAACTGATTGATTCCAATTTGTAAATGTAAATAATGAATCTTCTTCATACGCCAAAGTTAGTCATGGAGTAGAGCTGGGATTTCTGGCCCGAGCCCGACCCGAAATTTGGGCCGGGTCGGGCCCAAATTATGTACTTGATAGATGGGTCGGGTCAGGCTCAGGCTTTTGATGCAGTTTTATAAATCATACAGCACAAAGAAAACGCATGTTTCGCATGTGGCCCTGCCTGCCCTGCTTTTATCTGAGGATTTACAACTGACCCACAACAAGTGACATAATGGACGTGGAAAGTATTACACAAAAGCTAAAAAAATGGGAGAACTCACTCTATAAAGTCAGCACAGGCCGGGCGGTTGTGGCTGAGTGGTGAGAGCAGTCGTCCTCTAATGCAAGAGTTGGGGGTTCGAATCCACAAACATATGCTGAAATGTCCCTGGGCAAGACACTGAACCCCTCATTGCCTCTGATGTGTGTCCCATCAGTGTATGAATGTGATAAAGCACTGATTAGTCTCTTTAGAATGATTTATCTTTGTAGAGATCTAGTAGAGTGCTGTATGAATGGGTAAATGAGGTCACAGATTATAGTGTAAAGTGCTTTGAGTATCTCGATAAAAAGAAAGGTCCATTTACAGTGAAACCTGCAGATGTGTGTCAGATCAGGTGCACGCTCAGATCTGACCGGCTGGTTGAAAGAGGTAAAACATAAAGTCTTAAGCTTAAGATGGACAACTGGATCATCAGCTATGTACGTCCACTGACTGGCCTGTTGAAAGAAGTAAAAAAAAGTCCTGTTAAGCTTCAGATGGATCACCGGATCAATGGCCGTGCTCGTCCTGCTCTGTACACTGCTGTCATCTGCGGTGAAGGAAGTTAATGCATCTGAAGCTACAAAAGCCAAAGCGAGCAGTGCATTCAATTAAAATAGCCTTGTTCAATATTTTTCCAAATAATTTTGCTCTAAATTTTTTTTTTTTTTCATCTGTATAATAGCCTATCTTTAGAGTTGATTTTTTAGGCTATTCGTTTTTCTTGTTAATATCCATTTAGTGACTTGTTTATAAACAATAAATCTTATATCTTCCTTTCTTTGAAATGAGCACCGTGCTGGTTGTGCCTCTGTGCAGTGTTTGGGACTGAAATTAAGTGATTGAATAATGCTAGAGCCATGTCCCTCTTTAAGTTAAAGGATTGATTATTATTCAAAAACATTCAAGATAAATTATTATTGTATGACGTATTTTTTTGGTGTGTGGGGGTAAATACATTTGAAACTTGTGGAGAAATGTTGTGGTTTTTGGTTTTTTTTTTTTTTCATTTAATGTTGAGGATATTAATCACTTCTGTGTTTTACATCCTCTGTGCAGGTTTTGTGGTCAAGGGTAAAAATATATAATTAAACCTCTTGTATGTCAGGAGAGAGACTTGGCTGGCACCCCAAACCCTTGATATCACATAACCATTACAAAACATTATCCAGTTTTAAGACTAGGCTTAATTTCATTTTCATTAAATCCTATAGTTAGGGTTGGCTTGTTATGCTTCCATAGGCTCAGACTACTGGAGGACAAATTTACGCAATTTCCTTAAATGAATTGTTACAATTGAATAGTTTTCATTTGATATTATTTCTATCTCAACATGTGATTTTTGACCTGAAATTGTGTATCTGTTTCTCTTCCTGTCTTCTCAAACCCAGCTGGTCAAAGCAGATGGCCACTTGTCCTGAGTTCGCTTCTGCTAAAGGTTTCTTCCTCACAAGGAAGTTTCTCCTTTCCACTGTTGCCTTCATGCTTGCTCAAGATGAGAAACTGCGATGAATTTAGACTCTGACTTCTGTTCTGACTTGGTGCTATATAAATTAATTGAATTGAACTGAATTGTGTGAGGGAAGAACACAGTGAGAGTTAATTTTTTCCAGCATGAATCAAACTGCTTAACCATTGTTCCACAAATCTGGTGATTTAGGCCTTTCCCTTCTGTTTAGGGAGTTGGGTCCAGATTTGTCTGAAGTTTTTAATTTAACACATTAACACACACACACACACACACACACAGAATCATGTGTTTGGCTTGATAAGGAGAAGACAAGAAGAGAGAAACAGTGTAGAGTTGAAAGATGCAGATGTAGCTTCTTGGAGAGAGATGAGCTATCAAGGTGGTCCCTCAGCTGTGGGCCATTAATGGTCCTGGTTTCTACAGAGCAGCTGTGAAACAAATCTTATCAATACCCACCATTAGAATAGAAATTAAAACAAATCACTTTCACAAATGCTATTCAATTGAATTATCTCTTCCCCTTGATTTGTACCCATCTTATCCCATCATTGCACTCACCAATCAATGTTGTACTTTTGTCCTTCTTGCAGGTCCTGAGTGTTCCAGGAACTATACTTCCAACATTGGCGTCATAAAGTCACCCGGGTTCCCAGAAAAGTATCCCAACAATTTGGACTGCACATTTATGATCTTTGCCCCAAAGATGTCAGAAATCATTTTGGAGTTTGAAAGCTTTGAGCTGGAGCCAGATACAACACCCCCGACTGGTGTATTCTGCCGCTACGACCGGCTCGAGATCTGGGATGGATTCCCTGGAGGTGAGCAGGCAATGCAGGTTCACATTGAGTTGTGCACCTTTTGTTTTTTGTGTAATGTGATGTCATGATTTGCATAAAAGCTTAAAACATATTCCAAATCTTGAAGCCTTACCAAAATAAGACACATGCCAACATGTTTTTGTTCAACGTTTGTAAAATTTGAAACGTTGATATAAAAAATATTAAGATTTTGTGGAACATGCTTTCCAACTTGTCACATTGATGCTGCTTAGTGAACAACAGTCCAGTTGAAATTAAAAGTGACTGCAGTTTTGGAGAAAACCTTCAGAGGAGCACGACACTGTATATTTTAAGAAATAATATATGCCATTACATAGCTGTTGGAGCTTGTTGGTTACTGATTCACCCGGGTTAAAGATCCGAATTCTTACACTGAATAAGGACCCACAAATCTGATATCTAAATTAGCCTGGATCCTCCATGTCCTCTGGAAGACTACAGTTATGTCCACAAGTTAGTGAACTCCCTGAAAAGAAACTACAGTAGAATTACTGGAAATGCTGCAGACTCAGGTTTGTAGTCCCCGATCCAGGTCAATAACCCACTGGAAATGGTATGGACCCAAGTAAGTCATATGTAGACGTCAACATACGTAATATACATTTAACACAAGTTAACATTTTAGCTTCTTTTTATTTCACTTGCACATTTTAATTTTTTGTTCAATCATCTGCAGGGTGTTTGCTTACTTAATGATGTGTAAAAGTGTATAATAAACATATCTGAATATAGGTTTCCACCACCAATGGCATCTCACAAGCATTTGTAATGTGTTTGGGGGAGAGACACACTGGTGGGGGGTCGGGGGGTCCTCCCCTGAAAGTTTTGAATAAAGTATACCCCATTTCCTGCGTTCTGGTATATTTTAACAGGTTGTTAAACATCTACGTTTACCTATACAAGTAAACACTTGTTTCGATAAATATTTTAGAAAGCATGGCACAATGCTGCTACCAAACACCCCCCACCCCTCACCCCCCCCACCCCCGACTACTGCCAGTGCTAATGTAGCACTAAGCTAGCGGCACACAATACAGAAATGCTAGTTAAGGTGCTACAGACCTAGCGCTCCGTTTCTCTTGCGCATCCTAACCCACCTCAGTCAACAACTGCTGGCACTAACATGGCGCTGAGCTAGTGCGCAACTCAGAGGTCTCTCCCCTTCTTTCCCCCGCCCCATCAAGTGATCTAGGGGAGACACTGCATGTGGTGTGGTGAGTTGTAGATAACCAGGAAAACCTGGAGTGGGCTTTTACTGATTTAAGTATTCTCCTATTAATCAAGTGGACTTGATTTGATCATGAAGAAATAGAAACAGTGCTGGGTGAACTAATACTTCATGGTAAAAGTATGGTATGGTATAAAGTTGATTCATTTAAAAAAAGTACAAAACAATTCCATAGCAATATAAAAAAGATACAAAAGATTTAAAATGAAAGGCAGCAGAAAGAAGAAAAATCGTATTATATCTGCCCCTTTTTTCAAACAATTATTTCAATCATAATAATTTTCAAGTAACAGAACAAAATGAATAGCTCTTTCTCATTTTTCTACTTCTAATACAAAAAATACACTAAGCTACTTCATATATATATTTTTAACAATCCACTTTTGATCTTTTTCTTAAATGTACACATTGACTTGGCATTTTAAACATCACTCTCTAGACCATTCCGCAATCCAATTCCTTGGATTGAGGTAGACCTTCCCTTCAGACTAGTTCTGAATTTTGGTTTGACAAATATCTCTATCCCCTTAAGATTATAACAACTTTGTCTTTTAACAAAATTTCTTTGAATATTTAATGGTAATGTGTTATTTTGAGCCCTATACATAACTGATAAAATACTATAATCTACCAAATCATGGAACTTCAATAACTTCAGTTGATAAAATAATGTGCTTGATGGGTGACTGTAATGCTTTCTGGTGATAATTCTTATAGCTCTTTTCTGTAAAATAAAAATAGGTTTTGTAAATGTTTTACACACTTTCCCCCAAACATCAATGCAATAGATTAAATGTGGAACAATGATTGTGTTGTACAACATGTACAAAGCTTTATCATTTAATAATTCCCTGACTTTGTATAGTACTGCAATAGATTTAGTTATTTTTGTTCTTACAGAATTTATGTGATTTTTCCACGTTAGCTGTTCATCAATGATTACACCCAAAAATTTAATCTCATTAACTCTACAAATCTCAACACCCTCAATTTTAAATGGATCATCAACAGTTCTCTTTTTGTTAATAAATATCATGTATTTAGTTTTATCTAAATTTAATGATAATTTATTAATTTTAAACCAAGTTTGTATTTTATCAAATTCTGTCTTCATCAATTCCAACATCCGTTTTACATCTTTACCCAAACAGAAAAATGTGGTGTCGTGTGCAAAAAGGACACATTTGAGGAGTCCTGATACATTCACTGAGTCATTCACATATAAAATAAATAACTTTGGTCCAAGTACAGAGCCTTGAGGAACTCCAGAAGTGATATTACAGAGGTCAGATATTACACCATTTATTTGTACAAACTGTTTCCTATCTTTTAAATAGCTAGATACCCAGTGTAATGCTGGTCCTCTTATACCATATTTAATTAATTTTACAAGGAGAATAGTGTGGTCAATAGTATTGAATGCTTTTTTTAAATCAACAAAAATACTAACACAATACTGTTTTTGATCGACAGCAGTAGTTATTTGTTCTATTAATTCCATGAAAGCCATTGATGTAGAGTTTTTTGCTCTAAACCCATACTGACTACTACTTAGAATGTTTTGTTTAGTAATAAATTTATCTAATCTGGTCACAAATAGTTTTTCTAGAATTTTTGAGAACTGTGGTAATAAGGATATTGGTCTATAATAATTGAACACACATTTATCACCATTTTTAAAGAGAGGAACTACCTTAGCTACTTTCATATTGTCTGGAAATATTCCTTTTGAAAATGATAAATTACAAATATATGTAAACGGCTCGATAACATAACTCATTATGTCCTTTACAAACATCATATCCATGTCCACCCAGTCTTTTGATCTCTTATCTGTAAGATTCTTTACAACATTCATTATTTCTTCTTTGTCAGTTCCATTAAGAAAAATACTGTTGTCACAACCTATAACTGAATGGTTCACATTATTGTCTACTGTTGGTATTTTAGCTGCAAGGCTTGATCCAACGTTAACAAAATAATGATTAAATCCATTTACAATTTCATTTTCATCATGGATTTCATTGTCATCCTTCAAAAAATATTGTGAAATACCTATTTTTGCTTTATGACTTTTTAGAACACTATTTATTACTCGCCATGTTGCTTTCATATCACCATTACTTTTATTTAATAAATCACTATAATATTCCTTCTTGTGTTTCCTTATAATCGCTACTAATTAATTTTTATACTTTTTATATTTCTCTTCAGCCTCTTGTGTTTTCAATTTCAAGAAACATGTATACAAATAATTCTCTTTTTTTTACAAGCATTTCTCAACCCGTTCGTCATCCATGGTTGGTCAACAACATTTCTGTTTGTATAATTATATTGCACACAATTCTTTTCATACAGTAAGTGTGTGTGTGTGTGTGTGTGTGTGTGGGGGGGGGGGGTTCAACCAAATATTTTTTAAATGTGAGGGGGACATGTCCCCTTGGAGGGGTTGGTGCACTAAGAACAACTCAAGTGACTCCAGTGAACTGGGTTACTTTGGTGAGTAATTCAGCTTAACCTGGATCTATGAAGTAAAGAATTACTGTCTCTAGTAGTTGCGATCCACTGACTCTTGATTATTTTGACTACCAGTTTTGGTTAAAATATATGACAAAGAATAACTGAAGTGAAAAATTAAACATTACATGTATTGATTTTTACATTAAACATACAGCAGAGGGAACTTTATTGCTGAATGCCTAGTTGGCACCTGTGCATTGTTGCATGTGCTCAAAGCAGAACACTTCCTTATCATGAATGCCTTCCACGTTTCTTTTATTGAGGCTCAAGCTTCATGTGGGCAGCAATTTGTGAGAGCAAATACATTTGGGAGTTTAAGGTCTAATCTTGGATGCTGTGTTTGACATTGTTTGGTTTGACATTTCAATTTTGTGGGAAATGACTCGAAAAGGAATTTCCTTCCAAAGTTTCCTTGTGTTTCCCACTAATGAGGGGAAACAAAGACGTTCATTCCAGCAAGGCTGAACATGATAAGGCCCAACATCTGCTGGTTATATAGGGTTGAACAAAACCTGCAAGGCTCGCACACAATCAGATACTACTCTAAAACAGTATTAAAAATCAATTCATCCTAAAATCATCAGGTGAGGGATGAGGTAAGGCAAGGGGAGCAGTGTTCAAAGCCTGCTTCCACAGCCCTGAGATTAGCCTTTTAACTCAGCGAGCAATATCACATCTTTTTTATAATTAAAGTTTTTTATTAATTTTCAGAACATGTGAACTTTTACAAAACATAACAAAATAACAAACATTAAAAATAAAATAAAGAACATAAAGCTGGTGCCCCCCCCCCTCTATTTCCCACCCCCAGAGTAACAGTAGACTACAGGTGCAGTGATAAATTAAAAAAATAAAGAAAGCATTTCTGTAATTCCCGTAGTTGGGATTATTCAAGAATCCAGAAAATCGAGAAACAAAAAATAAAAAACATAAGACAAAGCAGTATCATTTTAGGTCATACAAAGGTCTTATGTCACACTTTTTAGTGAGTCCCAAAAACTGTCCCAATCTGTATCTCTGCTCCCTTTCAAGTTACTGAGCATTACCTCATACGAGGCTGTGTCCGCCATTAATTGAATCCAGTCATTGATTTCAGGGCGCTTTGTGGTCTTCCAATGTTTTAAGATAATCCTGGATGCTGTCACAAGACCGACCATAATAACTGAAAGGACTCCTTTGGAAATGTCCGGCATTTGAGATCTGTCTCCCAGTAAACACAGTTCTGGGGTCC